ATAGAGAAAATGTGGTGTACACAGGGGAATGTTAGTCATAAAAATGAAAAATAATGAAATTTTGTCATTTACATCAACATGAATGGACCTAGAGCATATTATGTTAAATGAAATCAAAGGACAAGTACTGTATGATGTCACTTATATGTGAAATCTAAAATACCAAAACAAATGAATAAACAAAGCAAAATGGAAACCCAGTCCTAGATACAGAGAATAAACTGATAGTTTCCAGAGGGGATGGGGATGAGAAGATGGGTGAAAAAACAGAAGGGTAATAAGAGATATAAGCTTCCAGTTATAAATAAGTCATGTGGATGTAATGTACAGCAAAGGGAATATAGTCAATATTATTGCAATGAATTTGTACAGTAACAGATACTAGAGTTATCACAATATGATTATAAGGTATGGACATGTTGAATCACTATGTCATACACTGGAAACTCATGCAATATGTCAATTATACTTTAATAAATAAAAAGGCACTGCATTAAAAAAATACCTGGCATATTGTATGTGCTCATTAAGTACTAGTGGATGAATGGCGTTAGAATAATAAATTCATATACTCAGTCTTAGTAAGCCCCGTTTCATGGAAATAAAACTAGAAGCAGAAATTTGGATTAAAAATGTTATAAATTTTACAAAAGCAGCTCTTTCTTTCTCCTGAATAAGCTTAGGATCAAGCATTAGTTTCTCAGCTTCATCTTGGATTTCAGCAGGTTTGATAGTGTACATTTGAAATGGACACGTTTTGATGAAGCCTTCCTCATTAGGCAGAATAATGGTTGCTTGCCATTTTCCTCCTGGTTTTGTTCACAAGAGACTTATTTTAAGTAGTTCTCCGAGTAGTAAAATAAATGTAGTTGTGTTGTTATAAAGCAAGGCCACTTTTACTCAAGGAATGCAAACTGCTTTCATTGTGCAGGAGACTGTTACATTTTGATCTTTTTAAAAATCATACATATGCCTAATTATTTTCACTCGAGGTATGTTGTATTAGGGAAACAAACAAAATGTGGTATAAAGAAATCCTGGCAGATTTTGACAATAAAGGACACATGTCAAAGAAAGATATCCACAGGTCGATAGCTCCTCACATGCTCTCTGCACCGTCTTTTAAGAGGTGTTCCCAGAAATGCCTGCAAGAGATTTCTGTAGAACAATGTTGCTCTTTTAAATCAACAACGGTATTTCTAACCTTTTTCTCTCTGAAGGTGTGCTTTCTAATGGTAAAAATGATAGAATTAGATGAAATTGCTGATGAAAGCCCAGGAACTCATTTGGCAAATAGAACAAAGATGGCAGAGCACAGACTTCAATAATCCATAACAAACAGGCAACTGGCCACTACTGGCTGGTCTTCATTTCTGGGCTTTATAAAAGTAACTAGATACCTCAAGCAGAAGAACATTATTTAGGGAGATGAAAGGCATCTTTATA